AACACTAGCTAGGGAAAAAATTAAACTGCATTCTTCCACCAGCAATAAGCACAGAAAAGCAGCAAGCATAAAAGGCAGACTGTACACTAGAAAAGTTTAAATTGTTATCGCTAATTATATAATTATTAACTTTGTATGAAATTCATGAAAATCAACATAAAAACAGATTATGCCTAACTTAAACTATAACCTCATGGATCATACTACTACTCATCATGATGACAAGATGAGTGTTCCATTGCTCTCCGGAAAACACAATAAATTCCACCCTTCCTCCTATTTGTAGCCAGCATTTATATCTATGAGACAGAAACATTATTGTAAATATTTCACTGAGCACATCAAGAATAACATTCCTTTTCATATAGTAACTGAATATCCTGAATCCAGCACATCAAACTTTGCTATAAGCTGAGGCAGACAACTTCTTTTTCAATTGGGAATCACTCTTTCTTCAGCTTACAAGTGCTCAGCTGGGACTCCTGTGACATAATCAGGAGTGGTCTGGAACTAATTTTTGCAGTATTTTTTTGTTCTTTCTGGGAAGGCTGGGCATTAGGGCTGAATAGATACATTAAGTCTAGCAAAGGCTTTGCATGCCTATTATAGCTTTTATTTCATTAAAAATCATGTTGATGCCAAACTTCAACAATGCAATTTTAGGAGGTTCTGGGGACTGCAATTTTTTATTTGAAACATTTGTAATTTCTCTTTTTCAAAAATCTTTGGTCTTGGGTTAACTCTTTCCTACTGTAAGGTATCAAACTACACAACACTTAGCTTGCTTACTTATAAAGGCTGTTTGCTCTTGGTATGGTCCTGTGCTTTTATAGAAGGCTGAGTATCACCAGAAGACAGAATGCAATAAAGCAGCTGCACCCCATTCCTCTGGCACTTGCCATTTTGGCAGTGCAATCCAAAATAGAGCTTTGGAAATGATGAGCAACTGCAGGAACAACTCTTGCTCTTTTCTTTAGGCCTAAACCATACAAGAGCATGAAGAATCCCAAATCTTCTGCTGCTTTTCAGCACTAAAGTAATAGGCCGAGGACAAGATTGCCTGCTTTTTGAAAGAGCACATCAAAGCTTGTTAGCTTGTGGACCCTGTGCAAGGCAAATCCGGAGTTATCACAAAGGAACCAAATGGTATTTTTCCCCTGGAATTCACAATTAAAACTAAGCTAATCTCCGGCTTGCAGCAGTTAGCCTAAGAGGCAGAAGGACTCCACTACAAAGTAACTGAACATGGAAACCCACAGAATGACACATCCATGTCCACCTGCACTTTCCCTCCCATAGTAAATCCTTATTTATCAATATTTCATTTGGAAAGCAGGCAAAATGTATGCCTATATAATAGCACTTACAGTAGAGACACAAGTAGTTACTAGCAGAAGAATTAAAAAATTATAGGATAAATCCTGCCTGAAAATAGTTTAAAAATTGACTGGTACTTATGAAATCTACAACTCCTGTGTGAAATGTTGTGCAATGTGTTCTGTGTGTTCATTTTATGATCACCATGAAAAAAGGGGAAGGAAAACCCTGACTGACTTTGACAAAATTTATCCAGAAATACCATTATATTCTACATTTCAATACTTCCCAACTTTACAATGAAGTATACATATGAAATACTCTTCTCACAGTTCCCAGAATCTAGCTGGGCGTGATTATCATGATTAATTATATTTACATTTCCAATTTAGTGTTGGTAAAATATACTATGTACCTAAGTCTGGCCCAGTTCCAACTGTTGAGAAAAAAATGGCATCATAAGTTTTAAAAAGATTGTGTCCCTTAAAATTTTCTTACCTTAGTTCAGGTGACTCAGCCCTCCCATATCGATCCTGCCACTTCCCGATGCCTGAACTGGTTTTTCTGACTGCAGTGCTCGTCTGCGACTGAGAAGAGGCGCTGTTTCTGGTGAGATAAATGTTCTAGGTCTTTCTTTTCTTATGTTTCTACATTTTCCTATTATCAGACATTATTTTCTACCCTCACTCTCTCATATTAATTTCCCCCATGATCCTACCCTGTGATACTGCCAGGCAGGATCATTCTAATAATGGTCTAGATATGCTCTTAACAAGATTCACTAACTAACTGGAGTCTGCATATGATTTCATGCTAAGCAAAAGCACAAACACACATCACTGCTGACTTCTCCAGCAAGATGCAGCTAACCAAATGGAGATGGCTCTATCCATGATTCATTCAAGGTACCATGCAAATCCAGGACTCAGAGAAAGAAGCTATGATTTGCTTTTGGCTTATTTCTCTGGCTTGTTCCAAGAAAAACAATCCAGATTCCCTGATTCACCATTACCATAAACATAGATAAGAGCTGCTCATAATCACACTTGAGAAGTCAAAGGTAACAATTATATATATTCATGGCAAAACAACCTTAACGTTTATAGAATCCAGGAACTAAATATATAGAACACTGTTTTAAACTGCTGTTTAAACATCTACATCCTACATAACAAAGTTAGTGAAACTGCCATCATTTTCAAGATCATATTCAAAGTTGTAACAACTACACAGCAAGATTTTCCAATTCAAGGACTTTGGAAAAAATTAATCCAGAATACAGGAGCATACATAAAATTATTCCAACATGAATAAAAATATATATTATATAAACCTATTCCAAAGGTTAGTTTCCTCACCTCTTCACACTCTAAGAAAGGCAAAAATGGCCCAAAGAGGAGGACCCTTACTGCATTATTTAAATTCAATTTTGGACCTAAAATGTAGCTCTTTTACAATAATATACTGTCAGATAAAAAGCCGTTTTTTCCCATTTGAAACTCCTACAATCTTTTCGTGTGAGTAGAAACTGGTATTTTCCCCTCCTAAAAAGTGGCAATATATAAAATGATGGCTAGTGCTTTTAATATTTGTAATGTAATACAAATAAATAATCTTGTTTCCTTTACTTATAGAGACAGAAAACTCTAAGATGTAATATTATGATCATTTACTTGAATGAATTCAGCAGAGACCAACACTGATAAGATAGGACTATTAGCTTTCAAGATCTCAAGCTTGTGATCAAACTATCTTGCTAGAATGTCAGCAAAATCAGTTAGTCTGAAATAAAGCATCTTGAAAGAGATTAAGCAAACTGCAGGAAAATAATGGATTAAGAGGAAAACAACAATATAATTCTTATTACATTTTTTTCTGATTGTATTAATTTGCCTCACCTAATGCTTCATTCAGCTACACGTGCAATACATATTGACTGTATATACTTGGCCAATGATAAACAAGTCTTGTGGCCTCTTCAGAACTAAATTTGCTATTTTTTAATGGATTAAATACAAAAAGAACATGGCTACAGCCTACCCCAAACAGATTTGATCCAATCACAAAAATTACCACTAACATAGATATTTAAGTTGCCAGACAACATTTTTTTATAGCTACATCTGCATAACAATGTACAAGTAACATTATGGCATTCAAAGTACTCTATACCCAACAAAAATGCATAGTACAAACCTTAGTAAAAGTGTATAATCCAAATCATCTGGCTTCTAAACGTACTTAAGATACCATCAACATGTTATTTAGATGCAGAATATTTCTGTCTACTACTACTGATTACCAACTTGGAGGTTCTGCAAAACACTGTCACTGAATTGCTGTACCTCAAATTATAAGATTTACAACCAAAAGATGAAAAACACAAGTTGTGAGAAGAAGATAAAAACATACTTCGTTCAGTTTTAAAAAGGGATGGCAACCTAGAAACATTTTTTCTCTACAGCAGTTCAAAAGTGTGACTATCCAACTGACCTGTTTGATGGGATTCCTGTCTTGAATAAGGGTGGGGGAGATGCAAACTCAACTTTGCTTGGTGGAAGTGGTATTTCTTTCTCCATGTTTCCAGTTCTGCCCTGCTGCACCTTCAGAATAAAGTTTCTTCATTAGCATTACCTACTCTAAAATAAAGGATCTCTTCCAATGAATCATAGAAAACAGTAACAAAATGCTATAGCTCCTAAAATAATATGGATGCTCACGCTAGCAGACTTGCACAGAGATATTGTGACTTCTATTCAAAGATCCTCCCTGTTTTATTTGTCCAAGGAAGTGTCATTTCTCAAAAGTAAGTCCCATCCTCAAGATAAATTGTTTTCAGAATAGGGAAAGGGAAGATAATTTCTATTACCTGGAGCTCTATTTCCATCAATTCTAACACCACTTTACTGAAGCATCAGAAAGGCAAAAGCATAAAGAATGAATATTTTAAAAAATCAATTATTAAGCAAAGCCTATAAAAATGTAGACTAATATTTTCCTGCAGACTGATAAGGTTCACAATTTTTTTTTTTTACAAAAAACTTCCACTTGC